TTGCCCCTCGATGTTGACAATGAGACTTGGAAATTTTAGTTTGAAGCGTCGGCTCGTGACTCAGACTTGAAAAATGTTTTGTTTAAACAAATGCGACACGACCCCAAGTTACCCTCTCTCTCCCGCACTACAACACTAGGCTTCCCTTTAAGCCATACACACACACACATACAGCTTAATGAAAAAGTTATGCGAGCTTTCGTTTTTATTTATAGTTTAGTTTTGTGTGTGTGTGTGTGTGTATGTGTTGGTGCACTCAAACAAACTTTGCTCCCTACACTTGACCTTGTATTGCCATTTTGCCATGCACAGTCAACGCTGCCCGTCGCTTGCTGGGGCTACGCTGGGCTGAGCTGCTGCATTTGCTCGATGGATTTGTCAGTGAGAGAGTGACTGAGGGAGGGGGAGGAGGGGAGGGGAAGCATGGGAAAAACCAAAGGCCAAGACGCATACTTACTTACATACATACATATCTATGCGTGTATGTGTGTGTGCTTGTCAGGGCGGCGGCCGTCAGTAATTTGCCTAAAATTCTGCGCCGGCTCAAATGCCGGCTGTGCCACAAAGCAACGATGACGACAACAACGACAACAACTACAGCTACATACATACATACATATGTATTTATGTATGTACATACATACACACATACATACATATGTATGTACAACGAACGAACAGAAAAAGCCACAGGCGGCAGGCATCGACGGGCAGACAGCGGCAATAAAAATGCAGAGCAAGGCAAACCGACAGGGGCAACAAAGTTATTTTAATGACCTGCAAGCCATGAGGGTCGAAAAGAAATGTAGTAGTCGGAGGCAACTGAGGAGACGGAGACGGTGAGCGAGTTGGCTAAGGAGTGGGGTGGGGGGCCTATGCCGCAACAACCGTAAAAATGGCAAGCGAAGGGAAATTAAAGACCACGAACACTAATGTCACAACAACAACAACAATAGTCAGAATATGATGGCAAAAGGCAAAAAGAGAATTGCTAATGCCAAACGGCAACAACAACAAACGCGGCAATAACAGCAACAGAGACAAAAATAGCAACAACAACAACAACAGAGGTAGCGGCAGCAGCAAGAAAGTGATGAAAGAAAGGCATAAAAGCTTTATGCTATTAAACACACACACATATGTACATACATATACATATGTATAATTTGTGTTTGTACATATGTATGTGTGCATGTACTTTATTTGTCTGTTTACGTGTTTAGCATTTGTTTAAGAATTTTCAACTTTTTAACAAACAAATAACCGCCAAAAGCAAAATAAGGCGAGAGCCATAAACACATGTATGCATGTACATACATACATATGTATGTAAGTATACATATGTACATGTACATAAGAGTATATGTATGTATGTATGTACATTTGCGGGAAAGAAACTAACACTATTATGAGAATCTGATTCCAAAAATATACATTTGTATGTACATATGTATATACATAATGTATACAAGTACCTCTTTATACCCGTTACCCTTTTGGTAAAAGGCTATACTAGCTTAGTTCGAGTGTATGTAACATACAGAAAGGATCAGTATTAAAAGTCGAATCGATATAGCCATATCCATTCGTCCTTCTGTATAAATACAAAGTATTTAGAAAGTAAAGGAGCTAGAATAACCAAAATTGGTAACAATCTTCTACTCGAACAGAGAAAGCATAAGCTTTTATTTTCTTCCGATACGCCCCCACTTCCTCCCCTAGTAGTGATCTTCTATAGCTCCCATAATTCTCAGATTATAGTTTGGTATTACCCAAAAGCAAAAATTGTTTAAGATTTTTTTATAAATACCCAAGTTTCTGGCACACCAATCGTTCCTGATATAAAGGCGATTTGAAATATATAGAATATTATGGGGTCTTAAACAAAACACATAACTAACCAAGTTTAGTGTCTCCAGCTGTTATGGTTCAAAAGTAATTGGTGTTCATACAGACGGACATATCTACTTATATTAGTTTGTTTCGGCACGCTCTTTATATATAGTATAGTAGTGGGTCTACGACGCCTCCTTATTTGCCTGTTACATACTCTACATTTGGTCCTTAAGTCTTCCGGATACAGGGTACAAATATTGACCACAGATGGATCGAAACTGGAGCGGTTATATGTTTCCGTTTTGATATGGTAAACGGTTCCCAAAAAAATGTTTAATAACAACATCTCCCAGAAGTTATATGTATAGAGCTTAATAGCAGTTGAAATGCCAGAAACTATCCTTGGTTTCTATATCTAAAGAGTATGGTCCAAGAAATGATTAAGGTGCCTCACATGGGTCACACACAGGACTTGCTTGCAAATATAATGCAATATTTGAAAATATATTCGAAAATCAATTTCTGTGCATTTCCAAAAATATATTTTGTTTTTCTTAATCGCATTGCGTTCCAATTTTTATTACAATTTTTCATCTTTTCATTACAGTACTGGAACTATTTTCGTTCGCACAAACGGAATTCAATTTTTTTGGAATACCAAAAATTATTACAGAACTGTACAATAAATATTAATAAACACACATATGTAAGTAATTCAACACAGATTTGTGTGTGTCTAGTAAAAATATTTATAAATGAGAACCTTTCCACAACATTTCGGAAATGTGTTTTTGTTTTTGGAACATACTTGTAGATATATACGCATATGTATCTTTTAAAAATATTAAAATTGAAATGGAATGAGGCTGTGGCTATGATTTGATGAATCAAGTTATCAAATTTATTGGTTTTGTCTTACAAAGTAGTTTCTCTGCTACTTTTCTAACTTAATTCTTAAGGCCAGAGAAATGTTCTTGTAACTGACTATTGTATTCTACAAAAAATTGGGAAACTTTTGTAAAGCTAGCCTTCGTTTCTTCTATTATCTTTATCGATTTAATAGAGACCATTATTATGGATCAATTTTAACCAGATCACTGTGAATTCTTTAGAGAACAAATTCTGAAGTACAGCAGGACCAGTAACTGTGCGAGTGGGTTCGGCATTGAAGAAATGAGGCTCTCTAAAAAAGGCTGTTTAGCTGCTTAAAGATGAAGATTTTTTAATATACTGCAACGAAACTCTTGACCGCTTCTTAATCAACGATTAGATATTAAATTATCAAATTATCAAAACTGATTTCTTTCTTTTCCAGATAATTTTTGAGAGCCAAAGAAACTTATAAATAGAATATTATTGTTTCTGTCTTTAAATTTGTATGGCAAAGTTTTAACTATAATCTTTCGAGTTACGAATCCAGAATACAGAGCAAATATTTAAATGAAAATTTGACGAGCTTAATCGACAGCTTCAATTTGCAAATCAGCTTCGGTCAACAGGAATCGTTAATGGGGGCATATGTTGTATGTATGTATGTATCTGAACATAACCATGCGTGTGTGTATGGGGGTGCGAGAAGGGTCTGAGTTTTGGCGCCCGTATAACGGATCCCGACGGCGATGCCAACAATTTCAAGTCAAGTCGAAATACCAAAAAAAAAGCAAAGCAAAATGTGCAGATTTTTTGCAAAAGAACTGCTGCGGAGGGTTGAATAGGATGGGGTTCGGGGGTGTTGGTGGGGGCTGGAGATGCTTGGTGGTCTATAGCGTGTGCGCTGACTGTGCCAAGTGGCAACAGCAACAACAACAACAATTGTGCAAAAAGCAAAAGACGACGACAACAAAATAGCAGAGAAAGCAAAAACCAAAAGAACGCGACGGAAAAAAGAAAACAGAACCTCAACTCACGGACTCGCGAATGTTACCATAGAGGAGTAAGAGAGTGGAGTGAACGCAGTGGGTATGGTAGAAGAGGAGAGGGAAGGGGAGGCGGGAGTCACGGTTAGGGGCCGCCACATGTGTGGTGTAGGCATGCAGAACCGCTTAGTCAAGATTTCAAATGAATACAAAGAAAATACAACAAACCGGTTCATAGCTTGTAAACAGTTCTTCATGTTCTTCCTTTCTTTTTTGCCTTACGGATTATGCAGAACAATCGGTACGAGGCAAGTGAGAGAGAAAAAGGAGCTAAAAAAAACACCAAACTTTCGTTGGTCCCACAAATCAAAGCATAGGAAGTTTATAATTCAGAAAGCTACAGACATACATACATACATATGTACTTATGTATTTACATATAGCGCATGACATATGTATTTAATTTTGAAACTTGAAAAGGATTTTCCCAGATCTAGTTATACAATTTCGTTTGAAAAGTATACTTGTAAAATTTTACTTTCTGGATGTGATTTGCGCACACGGAAGCAAAGATTTTCTATTCCGCACACTTCTAACGAATTCGGAAGCAAAGATTTTCAATTCCGCACACTTCTAACGAATTAGGAAGCAAAGATTTTCAATTCCGCACACTTCTAACGAATTCGGAAGCAAAGATTTTCAATTCCCCACACTTCCAACGAATTCGGAAGCAAACAATTTCAATTCCACACACTTCTATCGAATTCGGAAGCATACATTTCTTTAAATTCGGAAGCGGAAATGATTTGTTATTTACCGATTTTTCTCAGAATTCACTTCTGTTCACTTTTCAAAGCCAATAGCTCAATCGTTTTTTTCTTGGATGTGGATACATTTTTAATTGAGCAAAATCTGAATAAACGGTGCTTTCTAGAACATTCTCCATGGGACCTAAGAGATCTAGTAAAATCAAAGTTATTTTTTAATCAAACTCAAATTCAGTTAATTTTTGAAGCTACAAACATATCCATATCCTTTAGGGACTAAAATTCCTTGAAAGACCAAAATAGAAACATACTTTTAAACATTTATTCCGTTTCATAGCTGGCATCAATTAATAAGCAAAAAAATGTAAATAATAATATTAAATTATTATAATAATTGTAATTATTTGTATTTAATAGTTTGGTAAAAATAAGTATACAAATAAAATCAAGTGTGGTTTGGAAAGTCTTTAGATCTTTGAAGTCTCTTCATGTCTAAGCAAAAATATTTTGCTATATTATATATTATATAAAATATTGGAAACCTCCCCCTCCCCCCTTTCACCCTTTCCCACGTCTTACTGGAACATACAACCTTCTAGCTGGAGCCATTGGGCAGAAATCGTGCATCCAAGGACAAACGATTCATGCGTCCAAAGATGAGAACCTCGGATATAATGCGCTCGGCAAAGAGTCTCTGATCCATGCGCATATTACGGAAATGTACCGCCATACGTTTGCCAATAATATCACATTCATTATCTATTTTCTGCGCATTATGGAGATTGAGGCGTCGCTTCTTCTGTTGGAGTACATCGGAGACACTCTCATCGGCGCTACTATGTCGACGACGTCGCTCCTTCCCCGACTGCCGGCTAGTTTCCGCTGTCGAAGGTTCTGCCTCCGGTTCCGGCGACTGTATATAGTCGATGGTGGTCTGGTTCTCTGACTTAAGCTCTGATTTGACACGCACGGACGGCGAAGATTCTTCAACGTGCTCGATATCGCCATCCAATTCCAAGACATCTTCCTCAACACTGAAGGGTTCGGCAAAGATATCGTCGTCCTGTTGGGATGAGACCCATTCAAAGACAGTTATAGACAAGAATGAGTTGAGCGATTTAGAGGAGAAGTAGACAAGTCTTCCAAGTAAGTACGCCCCATGTTTTTTTCCTCCCTTACTATCTGGTTCCCCCTCCCACTGCCCGAACTTACTTCCATATCGCCCGTAAACTGGACAAGATCGATAGCATCTGATGCATCCACCAATTCGAGCATTTTATGGTCCCGTTTTGGTCGCGGCAACAATACCGGTGATATAGAAATCGACGACAATTGTTCCTGTTCAACTTCGTTCTCTGTATCAGGGCCCCCCAAATAGTCTGTATCGTCCATTAATTCCATGTCGTATAGGAAATCCAATTCCTTGAAATACCACAATGTCGGCACATATTGCTCCTCATCGGTACCATTCGCCTTGCAACGACGCATTTTTCGCAACTCACGGCGATACGATGTCCGAAAATTGTTAATTTTCCGTTTCAGCGTGTGAATATTCGCCGATGGTTCATGGGTGCGCATATGATCCAATAATCGCTGATAGGAGCGCGCCTTCAGTGCACGATTACGATAACACTCGCTCTTTGTCAGCCACAGTTCGGGCATGGAGCGATAAAGGCGGAAAAATTCCTGCCAATATTCGACATTTGCATGATATACCGGCATATCTGACATCTGGCAGCAAACTGAACGCAACACACCACAGAAATAACAAAAAGGTTGTCGTCCAACCCGGTCGTACGACAAACGACGCAACCTGCTCGCTCGTCTACGACTAACGCTCTCTTTCTCTCATACACACACAAGCAGGCAGGCAAGCAGGCAGGCAAGCAGGCAGACAGGCAGGCAGGCAATACTTACTTGTGTGCTTCGCAGTTCCTCATCATTATCGCCTCCATCGTCATTATCGTCATCCTCATCATCATAACTATCGAGAGGTTCTTCTTCTTCAGCTTCTTCCTGCTTGTGCTGTCCCTGTCTTGGCGATTCAATATTTAGCACAGGTTTGAGAAAATCCATTTTGTGGAACCACCAGAGACGCGTCTCGTAGCCATCAAAGGAAGATTGTATCTTTTTCAATTCCCGTCGATAGCAACAACGCAAGGAATTTATTTTACGCTTCACATCATTCACGTTCGCATCCGGATTGACATGGCGCAGAATTTTCAATAGTTCCAAATAGCCCGGTTCCTTCATCTTCTTGGACAGATAATCTACAGAGCTGTTGTCCCAGAGGGCCTTATAGTGCTTATAACAGCTGATAAACTCCTGGACCACCTCCATCTCATCATACGGGTGGGTGTTATTCATGGTAGATCGGACCGCTAGTGGGGCATCACGTCATGCCAAAAGTAAAAAATTGACTGACGTTCTTGCTTGATGAAAACGCCATGCAACGAACTAATTTTGTATGAGAAAGAGATGGCGATAGCCAGACTGCGAGCCAGAGAGCAATGCGCTCATTTCATACAATGCAACAACAAAGCTTAACATTTTATGCGAAACACAATAAAGCAGCACCACCACTAACAACAACAACAACAGCCACGGCCTCTTCAGCTGGTACAAGCATCTAGAAGGTATGACATTGCGCAGGTCTGTTATTCGCCGTTCTCTTGGTGTGACATCACAACAGTACTGTCCCATAGATTGTTATTCAAAAATATCGCTTATTGGCGCAACCCAGCTGCATTGTATGGACATGTATTGTAAATCAAATGCGTATGCAAATTTATCGCGCGGGAACTCACGCGTACGTGGCTAATGACGTGTTTGTATGTGAGAGTGGAAAATGTGCCGTATTTAATGCCATACCTTATCTGTTTATAGCAAGGCCTCTTGCCATAATTGTTGTTGTTACTTTGGCATTAAAGTCAGCTTAGTACGCAACGATTTGCCGTCAATGCGTCTATTTTGCTTCTTTTTCTATGCCACCTCTTCGTCTTCTTCTTCAACATCATCTTATTTATTTATTTATTTTCCTAAAAACTGTGCTGCCGACGTTGACGTTGGCGTTGGCGTCGCACAAGTGTATTGTATGGCTGGCAGCAGTCATTATGTGCGCTGTTGCCGAAGTTCAGCTACAACACCAACGTCGACGTCGACGCCGCTCAGAGCATGTGTTCGGCCGGCAATTTGCTTATACGTTTCAAATTTTTTTCTTCTACATTTGCTTTATTTTTTTTGCCCGTATAGCGCAGAGCTCCCAGCTCGCACTGAAAACTGGCAACAGTGCGCGCTCTCAGGCATGTTGTGGTACGAATGTTTGTCTGTGTATGTGTGTGTGAATGCTTAGAAATGTTGCATTGCAGCAACGAGGCCACAGCTGCGACGTTGACTGCGACGGTATAGTCGTTGTCAGCGACTGCGACTGCGAGTTGGCCGGCCGGTCGGTCGGCCGTGTTGCACAAAAATTTCAGCCTAATAATAATAACAACAACAACTGCAATAATAATAGCAGCCAACAACAACACCATATTAATAGACATGAACACACACCAACACACACACACACACACACACATGCATACATGAATGCTTGCATACACGCAGTCACATCAAACAGGCCAAGTCTGCAACTTGAACATGCTGCAAGCAGCGCTGCCCACGCTTCGCGTCGTCGCCCGTTTCACTTTCACTGCAATTTGCAATTGGCAATAACAACAACAACAAGAAGAACAGCAACAAATATGAAAATTGTCAGGCCGGCCCGAATCAGCAACATTAATCAACGAGCGCGCAAAAAATAAATGAAATATACATACATACATATCTACACGCACACTTACATACACATACGCGTATATGTATGTATGCACATGTGTGTCTGCCAGAGCATAGAACAAAATTTAAGGCCCCTATTATATGTTTGGCTAATAATACTAACAAATATCTGAGATATCTAAACGAAAACAAAGAAAGTCTCCAAAAAGAATGTTGGGACTGCTGTGGGAAAAATAATTTTATTTCAGATTTGATTTTCGGGACATCAGAACTATGTAATATACGAGTACGGAAATGAATTGAATCATATGTAGAAATCATGAAAAATTGTACATATACATATGTACATACATACATACTTAAAACCTTTCTTCCATCCACTTTAATTTCTAGCTGAGCTTAATTTTCCAACTCCTCATTCTCTTCTAAAATAGTTGTTAATTTCTAGATCCCAATCGATTTCGTTTCGTTTTCTGAGTGCTTTTCCTAAATTCCTTACTAAAGTGAATCCAATAAATATCAGAGATAAATTTCCTATTTGTTTTTTCTGTAAAGGCGATTTCAATTAAAGTTCAGCAAAATTTGGATCTTTTTCTCAGGGAAAAGCATGTTTTCGATGGATTTGAAATAGAATTTTCTTAAATTTCTTATCAATGTTGAAAAAAAATTCTCGAATAGTTTTTAAATAATATAGATTATTATAAACATTGAGATCTATATTTTGTCAGCCTTTTTATTTCTAAAAACATACTTTGATTTAGAAAGAAAGAGAAAGAGAGAGAGAGAGAGAGAAATCAAACATTTTACATTTTTAAATGTTGTTCCTTTTTAGTTTTTCTTTATATACGTGGTCTATTGCATATATCTATTTTAAGACTTTTAAGACAACTTTGAACTTTGGCAAAGTGTTTTTTGAAAAATCCCCATGGCTGCTATATAAAGTACTTATGTACATATATTGATAAGGACAGCCCAAATGCCAAGTTATATTTACTTAAAAGTTTCAAAGTCATCCTCAATTATTTGCTTGAAATATTTATGAAATAATGAAGAAATCGCTATTAATATTATTATCGTTATTATTATTTAGTACTAACACACCTATTTATAGGAAAGCCAATCATTGCGATTATTTCACTTATATTATCCAATTTGCGACCGTAATGAGCATTCAAGGCAATTCTATTTCGAGAACCCTTGCGCATTGCTTCAAACCTTCATCCTTTAATTAAAATAGATTTCCAGCGAATCAGGGAATCAATCCAATTAGTCTGATTATGGCAAAGTCAACTGTTGTTGTTGTAAGTACGAGTACTATTATAAAATAAAAATAGGTAGCTTTATCCTTCCAGGAAATATTGATGACTCGCATTTCGCTTAAATCTCAGCTAAGTACCACCCCCTTGATGGGGGTTATTTAATTCCCCCATTGCCACCCACTCGGTATTGTATGTCTTTGTATATAAATAAAAAAAGAGCACACTGACAAAAATAATGAAAATTGCCTAATATGGAAATACTTTTCCGCCTGTAAATGAATATTATCTATGAAATAATACGGAACTCTATTCGAAATATGTATTTACAATTATACCCAAAATTTAATCCAATAAAAATAACTTTAAGCAAAAATAAGTTAAGTAGTAACAGCTAGTTGGTACTTAACCTTGTACTTTCAAAAGCTAGATATTAAAGTGTGTGCTTTGCATTTTTAATTTAATTTTAAATCTATGTGCTTATGTATTTGTTTAGTTGAAATTTCGCACGCAAGTACACACTATTTTTGTAAACACTGTAACTAAGCCACACAAAACCAGTGGACATGTTGTGTCGCGCCATCGAACATGCTTAGTCAATTGCTACACTGTGCGAATCTGCAGCCACAGCATCTGTGTTGTTCGCAACTGTTGTATGGGGTTGCGTTGGAGTTGTGTTTGATGTTCGATGTTCGATGCAGCTAGACAGGCGCAGAACACAGGGTTCGATGAATTTTTTTTCAAGCTGCATAACAAAACTCAGCCGTCGTCGTCGTTGTCCGTCGCGTTGCGCGTCGGTCGTGTGTGCGTTTCGTTTTCGTCGTCATCATTCAAATCAAAAAATCAAAATCGTTGTTCCAAAGCCTAAAAAACTCGGGTGTGTGTTGTGCAAGCGCAGAAAGAAGAGCATGTGTGTGTCTTCTTTCAACTTCAACAAACGTTGCGAATTTATTAATAACAAATTTACGAAAAAATTATGAGAATCGTATTTAAAGAAAACAACCAACAACAACCACCACCACCCCGTCATATAAAAGGTAAAATATTGAGACGCAGTTAAAAATATACATATGTATGTACATATGCACAAATTTATATGTATGTATATGTATGTGTTTTATCTGCAACGGCTAACATAATAATAACAAATAAAATGAAAATTATAATTATAATAATACACACATACATAATACATAAATACAGATAACAAGAAAAAGTTCCACTCCGTGCGCCGTAATCTGTGCGTGTCGTGTGTGTGTGTGGCTCTGTGTGTCTGTGAGTGTGTGTGTACAGGTAGAAGAAAGAAAGAAATGATATGAAAAATTGGGGAAAAATTGCGTCGCGTTTTTACTTAAATCGCGCAACGTCGTGACGTAGTTTTTTGTTGTTGCTTTTTTTTATCTGTTCAAACATTTGCTCGAATGCAATTTATGTGTTGTAGTGTGCAAATAAAAGTGTCTAAAGATCAGTATAAAAAAGAAGAAAATAAAAATAAATGGAGAAATACAAATAAAAGAAAAAAAAGAAACGCAAGTAGCGCAAAATGTTCAATTTTTGCCTGTGCCTTTGCCTGCCTCTCTGTGTGTGTAAGTGTGTGTGTGTGTGCTCGTGTGTATATATAATATATATACATATGTATATACATATATATATATACATTTGTACATATTCTCTGTGTGTATGTGTGCGTGTGTGTGGCACCCCACCAACAACCAAAAGGCAAATACTGGCGCTGCCGTTGTTGCTGACGTCGTCGTCTGCGTTCCAATTCTAATTCTTTTTTTTCAATTTTTTTTGTTGTTGCTCGCTTGCCTTTTGTGTGCTTTTTAAAGTGGCATAGATTTATATACATATGTACATATACATATGTATATATGTATGTATATACTGTTTTATATAATAAATTGGAATGCCCTTTTTTTTAATGTGCAGCTGGCCCCCGAAACAGTGCATATCTGTGTCCATGTGTGTGTGTGTGTGTGTGTGTTTGTGAAAGAAAATCATAAAAGTCATCCAAATAAGGCAAACAAAACACACACACACACACAGGCACACACATAACTGTGCATAAAAATTTGCTAGCATTGCTTTAAAAGCGCAAAAAGCAGAAAAACTGTTATGGGGACACGCCCTGCCTTGAAAGTCTTGGCCAATAACGGTATCAGGCGTCACTTCTGTTACTTTTGCCTGCCAGCTAACGTTTCCTGTTTATGCTTTTGCTTTTCGCTCTCCACCCCACCCTGCCCCGCCCCAAGCCAAAATAAAAACGAATATCTATATATTTTTTTTGTAATAAATAAATATAAAACAAAAATAAAATCAAGAGAAATCAAGAACGACGCGACATTTGTTTTTTGTGAGTTTGGGAAATTTTTGGAAAACTGACACGAAAAACTGAATCTTTGAGTGATTTTGGATTTTGGATTCTAACCGCCGGCACTCGACGCCTGTCTGCATGTGCGTGCGTGGTAAGTGTAAAGATGCAAATTTATATTTTCATCGAAAGCTATAGATACATAAGTACACGCATACATTTATAAGAAAGAAATACAAATACTCGTATGTATATGCAGTATACATACATAATGTATAATTATATGTAGAACGTAAGGGGGTGAGAGCTCGCCGTCTGCGCCTTGCGTCTTATAAGGGTTGTTATATACAACTGCGTCAGCGGGCTGGGGGTTGCGAGTGGGTTGGGGAGTGCCAAAGGTTAGGTCGATAATGAAATAAAACAGCTGACGCCACGGAAATCCAAAACAAATGGCTTCATCCCGAACATGAAGTGATCATCTATTGTCGACTTGCAATCGGGAAATGAGGCCTAAACGTCCATACATATACATATGTAGTTTAAATGAGTCCTAGAAACGTTTTAAAGTTTTTTTTTAAAGACATTTGAAGCAGTTTCAACAAAGTAATGAGAATTAATTGTTGTGTGACAGATCTGTAAATCGTTCAAGTTGAATTATATGTATATGTATATCAAGGTAATTATCTGTTGTCCACATAGTCCGTTAATAGTTCTCTTATTCTCATCAAATTTTTGTTCTCTGAAATTTAAAAGGCACCCGAATTTTTAAAGCAAGCATTATAATGTTTTAAAAACTTCACTTATAGCTTTCATTCCGTTTCCATATCACAATATTTGCAAGTTATCTACATAGTCCGGAAATAGTTCTCTTGGTCTCATTAAATTTCCGATTTTTCTGAAACTTAAAATATAAGCAAATCTACATATGTATATATCGAACAAGTTGCATTGCCTTCTTTTGTTTCCAATCACATAGTCGTGCAATATGTAGTTCTCATCAATTTTCGGAAACCTAAAAGACACTCAAATTTTGGCAAACACCATCGAATTTTGTGGAACTTCCGCTATCCGTTCGGCTTTCCTTGAATTCGAATCAAATTGAGTGACAAAACAGCTTTTACTGACGAATTCGTATAACTTGCACCCTCCACCATACCTCGATTTTCTTCAAAATTCAAACAATAAATGAAACATATGCGTTTCCTTTGCTTCGAAGTTTTCTGCGAAAACCCCACACTTAGCCATTTATTTATTTTTATTGCAGATTATATTTTGTGGCTAAGTACTTTTGTGTCCTCTTTTTTCCATTTCGTCTATTTACTTTTATAATGTCTTAATTAAAAAGAATGTTTTCTGTAAAAAAAAACATTCGAAGCTATAGTTAAAGAAAGGGTTTCTTACTAGGAAATATTTATTTGTAGATCTATACAAACGTATATAATTAAATCAAGATCGTCGGGACTAAATTTTAAGCTTTGTTTCGTTTGTCCATTTGTCTCATGGTTTGACAATAGCGCTGTAAAGAAATTTGAATATGAAAGCATTCAAAATGTATATAAGATGTTTCCGGACAATTTCGAAAAACTTATGAGCCTTGGCACAAAAACTACAAACCCTGTTGGATCTTTAAATTTATTGTGTTATCCTGTGAATAATGATTTTATGGTACATATAATCAGCTTTATGAATTATTTAAAACCATGAATTTTAAAAGGCACATTTTGGAATTGACATTCCCATATTTTATTTAATTATATAATACTAGCTTAAAATTAAAATCTTAAAACCAACAGAAGAGATTATGTTAGCTTTCTTCTACATATGCGCTACCAATATCAAACTATAATCTATATTAAGGCTTTTGAATTGATAGTTTTTAAAGCGATAATATGAACGCGCTGGAGAAGCTTTCCGCCTTGAACTTTGACTTAAATACTATAAATATATAGTGTTTGTTATTGCTATTAATAGTTACATTTGAATTTCAAATGGATTTGAGGTAGTTTTACATAAGACTTGTGACTTCTAAAGTGATTTGGTTCCACGCCTCATTCGAAGGCTATACTAGAGTTTTTTTAAGCGAATTTGGAGAACATTTAGTTCTATTCGCAACTAAATTAATGTTTAGAGGGCACACATTGTTTCGATTCAGTTGGAAAATTCCAATCTACTAAAAAAATCAAATGGGCTTAAAATAGAGTGCAGTTATCTTCATTGTTTAATAAAATACCATACAATTATTTTAAATATAATACCACAATCCATATTCTCATTCCTTTTCCCCAAATAGTAAATAAGTGGTTTTACCTAATTGTTAGCGAATATTGTTTCTTCTTATGCCCATTATTTAAAAAAAAAAACCCATCCATCTATATGACAAAGGGTTTTTTTTTTTAAATTTGGGAGCGTGATATTGCACATTTATTCAAAATTCTATTAAATTGTTCACTAATAAGGGTGGAAGGCGAATATATCAAAAATGTAATAACCCTATGCTATTCGTATCTATATGATTGGTATGATAAGGCGAATGTCTGTCCGTCTGAACGTCGGGAACTTTTGCATCATAACAGCTACGGACACCAAACCTTTTATGTAGACTTGTCATTTCATTGACTACATTATCATGATTAAACTTTGTAATTATATGTTCTATTTAATACCCCACTTGTTAATGAAGTTTCATCGAAATCGGAGCACTATATAGCTGGAATAGGAAGGATGTTTGCTAGAATCACTCTTCGTAGCATAGCTCTTTTGTTCATGACGATATTGTACTCATAACTTAACTGTGTAGTTATGAGTTTTATATAGTGCCTGGCTGTATACTAATTTCTCTTCAAAATCGAAGCATATATATATTATATTAGGTAGCTATAATAGAAACAATCCGTGCAATAATTACTCTTTGTGGTATACGTTTCAGATTGCTCAAGATTTTGTAACTAAATTTTTTTAATAGGACTTTCATTTAACGCCTGACTTTATACCAGGGAACGCAAATAATATTTTATTTTTTTAAACATTTTAATTTTTTTTTCATTCGCTCACAATTTAATGATTAATTTTGAGTTTTACTTTTAAAATTAAATTAAATCTTCATTATTCAAGAGCAACAAAATGAAACTTATTAAGCTTTGAGTTTTATTTTTTTGATCAAAAAGTTTGTACAGAAGTTTCCGTTTCAGAGAACTGTACATTGGCTGTCAAAGGGCCAATCGGTGCGAAAACTTTTGTTAAAGTTAAAAGGCTGCGTCGAGACAAGAGTGTGAGCTCTTTAGCGTTCTACTCATACGTACAAACATAGTTAGAATATTTGGGAAATCCAAACACACTTAAGTGCTGATTTAACCGCTAGACCCCATTTAACCATCACATATGCATACATATATACAACTACATACATGTTATATACTCGTACGCTTATATTCTATATGTACTGATTACGCAATGTTTGAGAAAGTTTTTGTATAGCTGTGTTCCATTTCAGCTTTTGTTCAACCTGATGAACTTTATTTTAATTGTCCACCTTTTCTCTGCGTTTCAACTAATTTTGGAAAGTTTTCTGTGTGTGTGTGTGTCTGTTCTTTAGAATAGCTTCTTAATAACAAGTCGTATGTATTCCACAAATTCTATTCCATTATAATATCATTCCATTCCACTCCATTGGCATTAACATTACCAGTTCGGCTATCGGCTAAGGCCATAGCAATAGCCATCGCT